TTTTGGGTTTTCTTTTTTAGGTTTTTTTTTTTTATTTTTTTTTTTTTTTTTTTTTTTAGTTTAAGGGGGCTGGTTTTGTTCCTCCTCTGTTTTGCATTGGGAGAAATAAAAAAAAAAAAAACAAATTGCCCTGGCTGTATCTTGCTTTTGTCCCCTTGACCTCACTGCCCAATGGATTGGAGAAGTCTTTCAAAACCTGACAACAGTCAGGTTTGCTCCTTGCTAGAAAAGGGAAAAAAAGATGACTTTGCAGGGAAAATAATAATAATAATAATAAAGGAAGTTTCCTGTGAAAATTAAATAGCCAACAGTTGCTCTCCTGATCAAAGTGTGTCTCTGTTAGGTGTTTTCACAGCTCTTGGTACAGCTGGGTCCTGAGCCATAAGGAGAAATTGTCACAGTTCTGGTGGCATCTTTCTAAGGTGCTACACTATGAAGAAGAAATGTTGGACCTGAAGCCCCCCTGCTTTCCCCTTGGCCAGCACCACAGGCCAGGCCTGGGCACCCACGTTTCACACTGCCATGGAAACAATCTCCAGGTACCTCTCTCAGTCCTCCTCGTTCCACCTCACCCTAAACATGCTGGTGCCCACACACTTCCCAGGGAGGGGAGGGGAAAGCCACCAGGCAGGAGTGTCTGCCACCCCTTCCAGCAGAGACCAGAGAGGGCATCATCCACAGTGGAAGGGCTGTGAGCTCACCGAGGCCACTCGAGAACCTTGCTCCTCACCAGGGATGGTGCTCAGGGCTCTCTAGCTCCCAGCAGGTCAGAGCACCCTCACCAAGGGAAAGGAAACCGCTCATGTCAACACCACCTTCACACTGCCATGAGGAGGGGACACTGTGCCCTGCAGGCACATGAGCAATCACCATTGATGGTGCTCAGGTCTTTCCAATTCCAGCTCCCAGCAGGTCAGAGCACCCTCACTAAGGGAAAGGAAATTTCCAATGATGCCAATGTCACCTTCACACCATGTCTAGGCAGCAGGACACAACCTGCCCCAGCGGGGCCAGCCCTGCAGTGGGGAGGTGACACACAAGCAATCACCATCGATGGTGCTCAGGGCTCTCCAGCTCCAGCTCCCAGCAGGTCAGAGCACTCTCACCAAGGGAAAGGAAACCTCTCATGCCGACACCACCTTCACACTGCCATTGGGAGGGGTCACCGTGCCCTGCAGGCACCATGAGGAGGGGACACCGTGCCCTGCACGCACACCAGCACTCACCATCTGGATGACAGACACCGGCCCGATGCTGTTCACGTAGATATCCACATCAATGAAGGTGGGCTTGACTGGAAAGACAAGAAAACAGGCACCATCAGCTGGGGCCAGGAGCGTTGGCAGAGGGATTAGACAAGGAATGATCCCATCTGGGATGAGCGTGGCTCTACCACAACAAAAATCCCACCTCCATCAGGCACCAAAGCATGGAAAACACAGGACATGGCCAGGCCAGGTCACACCTGCAGCCACAGGGAGCTTCAGAGGACACTTACTGCCAATGTCAGGCCTCAGCTTGTTGTCATAGTTCTTGAGCAGCGAGTTGAGGATCTGTGTGGCATCAGTCTCCTGTGCCTTGGGCGTGAGGACCCAGGTTTTATTGATGCTGAGGTAATCGTAATCGTATTCCTCTGTGCTCTCACACCTGCAGAGGAGAGACAGAGGGCAGGGATGTGGCTGTGGCAGCTCTCTGGCACTCCCTGGGAGCGGGGGCACAGCTGTGTTCTAGAGATACCAAAGGAGGAGGATGCAGAGCAGCTAAAAGGCAGACCATGAGGAGCTCAGGGATCTCCTCTCAGCCGCACTGCTAAGAAGGCACAACTCACCTGGCACCTCTGCTCACTTCAGGGTCACTAGACATGCAAGGGGCCTTGCCACCAGTGAGAAAAACTAGCATGGAGTGCTTCACCTCCTCCTCAGCTCCCTTTGGAGGCACGCTGCTCATCCCCGAGGTGTGGGAGGCAGCCCCTGCTTTCCCTGCCTTCCTGCTCATCCCACCCAGCAGCTCCTGCTGCCAGAGCTGCCTGTTCACCTCAAATACCTCCACTACTCTGCCTGCTGCTGACACCTGAAGCAGGCTTCCTCTGAGGGAAGAGACAGTGACAAAACAGTGGTTTTGGGGAGCAAGACATTTGCAATGAACGCATTTCAGAGAAAAGCGGTCCTAATCTACCACACAGGCATCCTGCATGCCAGGAAGCCAGCCATCTGCCCTGCACGGATCCCTGGAAATTAAAGCCTTATGCAAACTCCTCTGCCTCCAGGCCAGGACCTGCCACAACCCATTCCCTGCACTCACCAACCCTTCCTCCCCAGCCTGTGGCGTGAGCTCCCATTTAAGGATGCCCCATCTTCCCAATCTCCCAGCTCCAAGCCAGGCAAGGAAAGCTCATATCCATCCTCCTTTGGACACCATCCACTCAGCAACAGCTTCTCTTGCTGCCTTTCAACCTTGCCCTCTCTAAACCTTTCACACTCCTCCCTTTTCCTAGAGGAGTTTTCCTAAACCATCTAATTAGATTAGGTCCACATGGTCACCCGGGAAATTGCAACCACCTGCCACTGCTCTGGGCAGCTCATCCACATGGCTGTCCCTGGAATGCCACAGCCATGTGTGGGAGAGGATGCCAGCACAGCCCCCTCCACGTCTGCCATGGCAGTGTGTCACCTGCTCCAGTGACAGCGAGGGTCTCTCAGTGGGAGCTGTCACCGTGCTGACACTTCCCAGCTGGAACCTCGCAGCTCCGAGGTGTAGCCAGGCACCACGGGTCTGTTAAAAATAGGTTAGAAACTGTTGTAAAATAGTTGTTAGATCGTTAAGCATGTGCTGTTAGTTTGGTTATTATATTGTAAAAGGGGTTAAAAGGGTAGTTGTAAGAAATACAGTACTCAAGGTACCATAACACAGCTCAGTAAAGTGCACCACGAGCCAGCCTGGACAGAGCTGTAATGGCCAATCGAGCGCCTTAAACCTTCACGCAAATGAAGGATCCAGAAAGAAACCAATCCAAAGAGACAAAAACCAGGATTAAAAGGGTCTTCTGACCCACTGAATCTGTGCTGCTCCATCTGGGACATCGGGGCCATCACTGCTGAGCAGCCCCAGCACCAGCGCTGCTCCATCCTCAAGGGAACGCTCCTGCTTGGCCTGCGGGGTCCCTTGCTTTGGGCCTTTCTTTTCTTACAATAAATGCTGAAATCACTTTAGCACCTAGAGCCTGCTCTCGTTTTGAACAGATCCCATCTCTCTCCAGCGCCTGCGGAGGCACAGCCTGGCCGATGCACTCGGAGGGGTCGAAAAAGCATTAAATTGACACCTTGCAGCCGATTTGTCAGATGCTCCTCTGCCAAAACCCCAGCCAAAACTCGCTTTTAAGACTCTTTGCATCTCTGGGGCGCCGGGATGTGACCCCCACCCGGGCCGGGCTGCCTGCCGCCGCGCATTAGGTGTTGCTACATCAGCGCATTGTTTCCCGTCTGATTGCGCTGCGCTTCCTAACCACGCTCAAGGAGTGTTAAGCAGCGCTGGCAGGATGCTCTTCCCCATCCCAGCAGCGCCCTGGCCGGGCTCTCGCCGTGGCCTTGGCTCCCAAAGGCGGGCGGGCAGGGAGCTCCGAGCAGCCAGAAGCTGCAGGGGCACGGGGCACACTGCCAGGGTGGCACAGGGGACACTGCCAGGGTGGCACAGGGGACACTGCCAGCCCACCCCAGAGGGTGGCACAGGGCTCGCATCGGGGTCTGGCCCTGCTCCTGACAGGAACATGTGCCCACAGCTCAGCTCAGGGCAAGGGAAAGCAATCCAAAATGCAATCTGAACTGCTTCCCTTCTGCCAGAGCATTGGGTGACAGAGGCTGCCTCCTGCACTGAAATGTTTTCTCCATGTTCCCTTGACCTTTCTTGAAGTCACCTGCCAGCGCTGAACTCCGCACATCTCCCTGCCCTGCCAAAATTCCCGGTCCTCTGAGAAACTGTCAGGCTACAGAAATTGAAACATCCCTCTGTGGGCTGAGCAAACCCAGTCTGAGCTTGCCCTGCTCTCAGATTTCTGGTTTTCCCCCATTTAGTGTCACTGATTAACACACCAAGGTTTGGGGTAGCATTTCCAGGGAGTCACATCCCTATTACAGATGCAGGGACACTACCAAAAATATGCTTTTTGCTAATGCAGCTAATCCCAGTCGACTAAACCATACTAAGCCATCTTAGCATAAGCAAGCCAGCTTTTGCTGGAGAAAATACGATTTTTCTGAGTGCCCGTGCACACACAGACACATCAGCCCTTGCTGGTTAAGAGTGTAACTCTCATGCCACCCTATTGCAAGCCACTGCCTCCTCCCTGGTTTCTCTTCTTGGTGGCCCCACTTTAAACTGAGAAGGGAAGAGCCCGAGATCTATTGCAGAGAAGAGGTGTTAAGGTGACATGAGCATCCCCCCTCCAGCTGCTAATGGAAATGTCACACTGCAGACCTGAGAGATCCCCAACGTGCTGTGAACACTGCCTGGCCTGGCAGCTCCGTCTCCAGGCACAAAGCAGCTGGCTTGGTGACAGGGGACAGCCACTTCTCATATGTCTCTGTGCAGCCAGGGGGAAAGGCAGAGCTGTGTTTCCTCACCTCTGCACGTTGAGATGCCAGAACAGCCTCCTCAGAGCAGGGCCATGGGGCTGGGACACAGCCACAGCGTGGGCAGGGGGTGACAGCAGGGCAGAAATGGGGGCATTGCAAGGAAATCCTTGGTGCTGGCAGAGGAGCTGGGGCCATGGCAGCTCCTGCTGGTGCCCCGAGCAGGAGGCTGGCACGGCAGGGAGGTGTCCTTTCGGATGTGCTCACATGCGTGGATGAGGTTGGACAATTGTCCCTGGGCAGCCCGTGGCATTACAGCAGGACAGAGCCATGCCTCACTCCCTGATTCCCTGTTCCTCAGGCAGACACCTGTTTGGCTGAGGCTTCCAAACACACACACTGCTGGGGAAACTCACCTGAGGAGCTGTGCCTGGCTCCCTCCCCTGTGCCCAAGCTGTGTGCCAAGGTGTTCCCTTGGCAGGAGCAGGGGAAGAACAACAAGAGCCATGAAGAAACTTCTGCTCCGTGCCTGCTGGGGCGGCTGGTGGTGCTTGGCTGGGCTGCACACCCACTGTCACTGCTGCTGCTGGTGGCCCTGAGGCAGGAGCCTCCCAGCACAGATGCAGATCCCCGGGCTGTATCCAGCCCTGCTGCAAGCACAGCTGAAAGCCTTCCCTGCTCCCAGGGAAAAGAGAGCAGCAAAATGCAACAGCAACGTTTCCCTTGGTCAAAAAGCACTGTGGTCAGTTCTAATTACCACATGCTAATGTGTCCTTACTCACCCAGCCCAATGCCTCCTAGGGTTGTAGGCACAGGGATGAGGACTCTGAATTAAAAGCAGGCAGAGGATTTAAGGATGGGGGGCTCTAACTGCCCCCAACCCATCTCACATCTCTTCCCACCTCTGCCAACACACTCCATGAAGACCCAGTGCTCCAATCTGCATGGTTTGAGGCACCTGCCCAGCCCAGCATCGGGTGTGATGCTGTGCAGGGATCCTGCCTTCCTGCCCTCAGGGCTCAGAGCTGGCTGCCCTGGTCCCAGGCGAGGCAGTGCCCTGGGAGAGGCTGGTGAAGGATCCTTTGTGCTGGGGGCACCCTCTGGGGAGTGCTGGATCACCTGGCAAAAAGCATCCAGCCCCTGCAGTGCCAGGGGAAGGGTCCTGCTGCTTGTACCAGGAGAAGAGCTCACATGCACTGCTCTGTTCACAGAGCTCCTCACCCCAGCACCCACCATGAGGAACAGGGAAGAGGAGATTCACCCTCCACAACTGCACCCAGGAAAAACGCAGCAAATGCAGAGCGAGACCCTGATGTAACTTGCTCTTTTTTCTCCTCTCACAGGATTCCTCTCCCACTCCATCATGCCCACCCTCCCCAAACCTCCACTGCTCCTGGCAAAGCAGGGATCAGGGTAGAGGCAGGCTTGAGGCACTGGGCAGAGGAGAGGCTGGGCCAGCTGTGGGGTGAGCATTCCTGCCCAAGGGGATGTGAATACATTAATACAACACATTTAATTACTCCTCCGTGCGATCCTACAGCTCACAACTCACCCTCTGGAGATGCAGGGCTCATGGCAATGCTCTGCAGGGATGGTGGGGGACAGGAACCTGGATCACCACGGATCCACCCCCTCTCAGCCCTCCAGTACCCCTGGCACCTGCAGGGATCTCCTCCCGGGAGGTTTTGTGCCAGGGCACGGCAGAGAATGGGTGTTAGGGCATGAGCAGTGAGGCAGCTCCTGCTCCTCGACCCTAGGAAGGCCAAACCACGCAGGACCATGGCAGGGATGGAGTTTGTGCCCATCCCCGGGGTCGGAAAGCATTGGCAGGGCAGACCATTAGTGGCAGGATTCATGCTCCCAGTCCCTGGCTGCATCTGTAATGGGATTTGATCGGCTTTAAGGCGGCTTATTCTGCCAATTAGCTTCAGCCAGTGAAATCCCTCTTCCCCCAAGCCCTGGGGGTAACAATCTGCTGACAACATGTTCTTTCCCCATCTAGCCATTAAACTCATCAGCGGGGCTAGGAATCGTAAAAAAAAAAAAA